TCTGGGTATTGGCTACCTAGACTAGACAACCAGTGGGCTACACACACTGGCTGGAGGGTCCTAGAAGGGAGCGGGCCTCTGGCTGAACCCTGGCCACTCTCCCAGCTTGGGCAACTGATGCATGCACTCTGAGCCTCGTTTACCAGTCTGTAAAATGAGATCAGGTCCCTGCCCACGGAGGCTGCTGTGAGGGTAAAGAAAAAGTGGGAGCATGAAGGGTGGGGTGACTGCTAGTGGGGAGGGCAGCAGCTGCCACCATGGCCCACCCCCTCCCACTACTTCAGTGTGAAGGCTGCTGGGGGAGGAAGCCAGGAGGCGGAGCTTGCCAGGAGTGTCAACTTCCTTAACAGCCTTTGCTGGGTCTTACTTTCACCACCTACAAATAGAGTGGTGACCAGCAGCACGAAGCCAGCACCAGAACAGGCCCTCAGCAAAGGCTGGGCCTCCATGTTCAAGCCAGCCTGTTCAAGCTGACGAACAGGTACAGCTGGTGGTCCCAGAGGCCCTCGGCTCTGACTGTTCATATGCCAGCCCATAAAGTACTTCTCAGCTGCCTGCTCTGTTTTATTTTCAAAACCACTTTGTACTTGCAAAATTCAAGCTGCAAGTTGGATGGTCCTTCAGAAAGCCAGCTGCAGAATGTTTCGAGGGCAGGGCATGCAAGTTGCCTGTCTTTGCAGACCCTAGCTTAGCCAGCCTCTCAGCCACTTACACTGCCACACTTCCCTCAGCCTGGCGCTACCACCACTGCTGAGCGATCCAGAATGGCTGCCTTTTGCCTCTGGGTCCCATCTCTTCTAGACAGTGGGTGCCGACATCTGCCTCTTTCAGGATTGCTGGTGAAGGTGTGCACCAGGAAGGGGCTGAGAGGTCCAGGTGGGATGTGAGATATAAAACTCTGCAAGATATTCTCATTTTAAACCTTTGCCAGAGGGTCTAGTTTTGGGGAAAAGCACTTGGAGTTGAATGGATCTGGATCTACTCCATGGCCTTCCCATCACCTGTGTGACCTTGGACAAGTCACCCCCCTCTCAGTCTGTCTCCTCTTCTATGAAGGATTATGATGATGGATAACTTGTATTGAGCTCTGGACACTGCCTTAAGCACTTTACACATTAAATTACTCCACTTCATTTTCATGAGAACACTGTATGTTAGGTGCTGTCACCCCATTTTACAGATAAGTAAACTAAGGCACAGGGAGATTAAAGTACCCAGCCAGCAAGGGGAGAAGTGGTACTCAAAGTCACATTGGCAGGGAGGGAGCCCATGCATCAATCACTGTCCCCACAGCCTCACAAAAATCCCAGGGCAGTATTGCTCCCAGGGTGGCCCTGGGACTGGACCAGGGTGTCCCCAGCCAGTCTTGGCTGAACTATAAGTGAAACCAACTCAAGGGCAGGCTGCCTTAGAGGGACACCAAGCATTTGGCTGAGGAGCCAGAGGTGTCATAAAAGCCTTCTTTAGGTCTGTATAGGAGCCTGCTCACTGGGAGGGGTCCTGCGAGAAGCTGCCTTGGCTCACACCCCAGGCGGCAGTCTGGGGCCTTTATTCTTGTCTCTGCTGTCCACTAGGGCCCTGTTAGCCTCACCTCAGGCCTGGTCTCTGTGGGGTGGGGTGGAGTGGCTGCTGTTTCCACTACTTGCCTGAGAACCCCTCAATGTCCCAAGTGGAGCACTGAACTGGGACTTTGGAAGAAGAAATCCCTTCCTCAGGCCTCAGTCGGCTGCAAGCCCGGGTCTATGGTACAGACACTTTCATATAGTGCCCGCTACACTCCTGCTACACTTCCCTGCCCCCCAGCTCAGCACTATGACTCCTTAGGATGGCAGAGAAAGAAGCTGTCATTTTTCCCACGTCCCCCACCCAGACCCAAGTAGAGTGAGGCTCCCCAGGTGATGGGCTTGGGCACCAAGTTCTGCCCACTCCCACCGCACAGAGGAGTGCCATCAAATGTTCCTGCTCTGGCAGGGCCTCTTGCAGAAACTCCATACCCAGCAGGCATCAGGGCTGGCCATGGGGGCTTCTGTGCTTTCCCTTGTTTGCCCACAAGTTCTCAGCATAGCATGTGTCTGACCCCTGCCCTCCCACAGCCTGTTCCTTTCTCTCCCTGGGCTGCAGCATCAGCCAGACCTGCCATGCTGGCTCCTCAGCCACCTCACACAGTTGGCAAATTCCTCTTGGGTCTTAATAACTTGGGATATAATTAGCAAACAGAAAAATACATAGGCCACAAGAACAGATCCCAAACATTTCACCTCAACTGTCCTTGATGCTCAATGAGACCTACAGGAAAACCATCATTACTAACATTCACTAGGTGCGGAGGAAATGCACCATGGCATCCTCCGTGCATCCTACATATTAAGGCATTTATCCCTGGAACCTACCTTTAAGTAATTATCCTGAAAAGCCTCTACAAGTGAGGAATCACCTTGTAAGTTCTGGAATAGAGACCTTGCTATTAATCCTGTTCTTTTACTTTCTAGCCATGGGCTTTGAGTGAGTAACTAACCCCTTCTATGCCTCAGGGCCTACATCTGTAACAAAGATAACAGTCCTGAGGTTCTCACCTCAGTGCTATGAGCTTCCACAGGTAATTCCCACTGTGAGCCTGGAGCAGAGCCTGGCACTATCAGCCTGTATCATCCTCCTCAGGCAGCAGAGGGCCACCCTAGAACCCTGCCCACCACCCTCATGTCTTCATCTGATGTCCTTGTCCCTGGCACTGACCACTCAGGGTCCATCCTGCTCCCATCCAGGCGGTGCTGCTAACCCTGGAGATGGCCTGGTCACTCTGCTCAGCTGAGGACAAGGTCCTGCTCCTCACCTGCCTGGACTCATCTGCCCCATCCAAACCATCTCCACGAGTGCTCCAACCAAAGGCCAGGGTTAGAAGACCCTACCTCACCCCATACACACTGCCCTGCTGGAGCACCCACTGCCTCAGACACACACACACACACACACACACACACACACACACACACACACACACACACGGTGCCTTGCTGGGGCACCTGCTGCCTCCACACTGTGCAGAGCCACCATCAGAGTCCAACGCTGCCTGCCTTCTCTTCCCATACTTTCCCAGACCCTCCTGTGTGGAGAACAATGATCTCCCCACATCTCCTTCACCCCTGCTAAATTTGAGGCAGCTGAGATGCCTACTTTTGAGTTGCCTAGAGCTGAGTTCAAACTGGCTCTATGCCTCACTAGATGTGCATGGGGTTTGGATCACGTTGCTCACTGAGTCTCAGCTGTCTCATCTGTAAAATGGGAATAACAACTACTTCATAAGAGTAGGAGGGTAGAATAAAATACTTTCATTTCTTGGGCAGCTGCTCCATGTCAGGCCTTGTGCTATATGCATTTTAAGTGTTTTTTCCTTTTAATTCGTAGTAGGGAGGGATTCTTCATCTCAAGAGCACACAGTGACTAGGCCAGTCAAGAAGAGCCTTTATGGTTCTGTACAGACAGAAGCTCACAGTGATGTGCTACATCACAGCCTTTTCCCAGATATCACAGGCCCGATGTGGATGCAAGGGATGAGATACAGAGATAACAAGGACAAAAGCAGGGGGTGGGAGGGTGGAGTGGAATGTGGTCCAAATGATGGTTAATGCCATAGGTCTTGCCCAGAAGGTCAGCATTTTTGACAGTTTGTGATCTTGGAACCCCACCCCCACCCATGCTGCAGCAGAAGAAGTGTGAGGGAGAAGATAGCAGAAGTAGCCCCAGAGGATAATGGACACAAGACCCATAGATGGAGTTGACTTGGGACCCAGATACATCTCTAGCCCCACCTTTTCCAGTAAGAACACACCCAGGCAATGGAGTGGGCTCTCCCCCTAGGCCAATTTCTTCAGGGATCCAAGAGTCCTCTTCAGAGTAGAGCTGAGGACAAGGTTCTGGCCCACTCGGGATCCTGGACAGTATGATCAGGTGCCCAAAAATTTGAGTGAGGCCAGTGGAGTCTGTAGCCCCACCCAGGGCCCTGCCCCAGCCTCCTTCCCTAACAACACATAGGCCCAGATGGGGACCCTCTGCTCTCCCTCCAGAAACCCAAGCCTCCTCATGCCTTAGTCTTTACCTGGGCCTTGGTTCCTGCAGGACCTGGCGTGGCTACCTGCACCAAACGAGAAATCCCCGTCCAGTCCTCATCTTCCTCTGTTTTCCCAATGGGGTCAGCAGCCCTGTTATGCTTCTAGTGCCAAGGTCCTGAGCCAAGTGCTCTTCCCCAAACTGCTCCACCCTGAATAGGTGAGTCTGCTATGGAAGCAGGGATGAGACTCCTCAGGCCTCCCATCCACGAGTCAGTCAGCCAAGGGGCTCTGAGAATAGGTCTAGCCCTTGCATTACTAAAAGAATGCCAGAGGGAAACCTCCCCTTTCCCTGCCACTGCTCACATGTAGGACCAGGTTCCGGCCTGCAGGCCAGGAATGCAGTCCCCCCACCAGGCCTGGCTCCAGGAGCCAGTTTTAAGTCCCACCCACAAGGCTGGCCCCAGATCCTCAGGCCTTGCTTGAGACAAAAAGGAAGCAAACCTCGTGATTTAAGAAGAGGGAGAGGCCCAGCCCTTGCAGAGATGGAAGCTTCCTTGGTCTGACATGGGTCAGACATATTTTAAAATGGGAGCATCCTGACCCCTGGAGGTCCTCCTGGTAGCCCCCAGAGCCTCACCTGCCTTCCTCTCTCCTTGGGTGAGCTGCCTACTTGCACAAGGCCTGGTCAAACTTGTGTGCTGTCTTCCTGGGAATGCCTTCTGCCCCCACCCAGAGAGGGGCCTGGAGACCCTCCAACATCCAATGGAGAGTGTGGAGGAGCTGCCTACCAGGCCCCAAAAGCAGGCCTGGGCAAGGACAAGGTCCAGGCCCTTCAGGGCCTGTGGCAGCTGCTCTGCCATCCCATGTGGTTAGAAAAGGAGAAGCACTGAGGGGTGAGCAGGGTGGGAGGCAGGCAGAGAACCACTTCGAAGGGCAGTGCAGTCAGGGTAACTCCTAGAGTAGCAGAGGCATGTCTGAGTTCTGTGCTGAGACGCTGGCTGACTCAGGACCAATGAGCCCCAGGTCATACAAATTAAGGATGGAGTCAGCAATGATGCGGGCTGTGCGCTTCTGGTACCCGCCAGAGGTCACCATGAGGATGGGCACTTGACAACCACGGGCCACCCGGAACACCAGCTCATCCCGTTTCACGATGCCCTGTTGGGAGATTGGGAAGGTGAGCTCAGGCAGTCCCCAACCTTCATTGTATCAAGCGGTTCTGCTGCAGGTCTAGCCCTGCTTGAACTGCAGCTGTTTCCATCCATCTGCCCTGATATCAGGAGAAGCACCAATGTGGTCCACCTGTCCTGCTGCAGCTGAGCCCTCAGAGCAGACCATTCCCCCTGCCCCCCACCTCCTGCCAAGTTCAGGACATACCTGTGGGCTAATGGACAGTCCCCCAAGGCGGTCACCCTCGAGGATGTCGGTGCCTGCATTGTACACCATGACGTCGGGAGGATGCTCCTGAAGGGCTCTCTTGAGGTTCCTCTCCACTTTATTCAGGTATTCGTCATCCTCAGTGCCCCACTCTAGCTCTACCTTCCGCCTGATGGCCTCTGAGAGAGACACAGAAATTCCCCCATGTGCAGAGACAGGAAACTGAGGCTTAAGAGGACAAAGATTGCTTGGATCCCTGCCAGTGCCCAAGGAAGGACTAGAAAATAATCTGACTCTAGCACTGCTCAGCCTCTCATTTCACTCAAAATGAAGCTAAACACACACACACACACACACACACACCCTTTTCTTGGCATTGCAATATACTGTACAATGAATGTCTAGTGAGAGGACAGTACTGCTTGCTAGTTTAGCAGTACTGTCCTCACCTAAACAACACATCTACATCAGACAGGGCTCTGCTTTACCTTGGTTCAATTTTGAGGGGTAGGGGGAAACTCAGCTAAAAAGAGCACCAAAGCTGAAAGCAGGGACCCAAAAGAGAGAAGGGGAATTGTGAATAAAACACCTTGCCCAGACATAGGGATAGCAAGCTGTGCCCCCATGTCCAAACCCAGAACATTCAAGATTCAATTCTGAGACTGGTCCCTTGGGGTATACCAGCATTTGAGTGCCCACAGCAGACTCACTAGCCCTTCCAGCATAAAGGTCCCCAAACCCACAAAGTGGGCAGGTGTTCAATTTTTCATAGCTCACCTGAGCATCTCTGCCTTTAGTTGGTAAGTTAAACCTGCCTGCATTTATTTTTATTTTACCAACTATTATATTTGAATTGATTTCTTCTGTCTTATTTGGAATATCCTACTTATCTTATTTTCCCTCATTTCTTTTTGCTCATTCCCTGTGTGCTACAGACAGATTCCCTGTGTGCTACAACAGGGCCTGGTCAAACCTGTGTGCTGTCTTCCTGGGAATGCTTCTGCCCCCCCCCCCACAGAGAGGCCTGGAGACCCTCCAACATCCAGTGGGGAGAGTGGAGGAGCTGCCTGCTATTCCAATAGCACCTAGGAATCTCTTTTTATTCTTTTGATGCCACCCCTAATATAAGGACCAATCCATATGTTTTTTAAACAGAATAATGCAATCTTGGGCGGGTCATGTGACTTCCTTAGGTCTCAATTTCCTCATCTGTACAATGGGAACAATTCCCACCTTGCAACACCCAGCACATAGGAAATACTCAGGAGAAAGCCCTATCCAAGCAAGAGTGAACTCAGGACTGAGAGTGACGGGCAGCTTACGCTTGGCAAAGCGGTCTCCAGGGTAGATGTGGCGATTGTAGACATCCATGATGTACACGCGCTGGTCACCCATGAAGTCCCGTTCATGCCCATTGCCCTGCGGGGAGAACATGGGAGCCACTTGCAGGCAAGTGGCCTCAACAAAGCCAGGACCCTCCCTCCAACCCCACTGCCCTGTGCCTGAGCAATGTGGTTTTTCCCTTTTGTCAGAGGATCTCATGGTTCTGAAGTGACAAAGCTAGTATTCAACCTCAAAACATTGGCCCCATGATCTTCCAGCATGACCTTAGCAAGCCCAGCCCTTTCAGTCTTCTTCAGGACACAAGGCATGGGATCAGGAATGTGAAACATAAACTGTAAGGGCTGTAATCACATAGTTCAGGAGCTCAGTGTCATGTGATCTTGGAGCTGTCCCAACCTTCACAAAACCACAATAGCAGAGGAGCAGGACGGCCTTCAAGAAACCACTGCATACCCTGCCCCACCTGGGATGACAGGAGCCAGAGCTGGGTAAGGCCAGTTCTGATGCTTTGCCCAGCAGTGGCCAAGCAACCCTGCAGTGCATGAATGAACATTTTCTTGGGGTGCAGGTCCACAGGGCTCCTGGGCTCTGTGCACTGACTAGGGAGCCACTGAGGAGTTTAGAGCACAAGAATAGCACTGCCTGTAGGGATTTTAGGAAGAGCCACCAGCCTGGTTTAGGGAGGCAGTCAGGAGAAGAGAGGAAGGACCCTCAATTTCATAGCAGCATTGGCTGGGGCGAGAGGGGTAGGAGGAGAAAGAAGGACCCTCTGCTTCTGGTCTCTCCAGGTACAGAGAGTGTGGGCAGTGGGAGAGAGGCAGATTAGGATGAAGGTGGCAGATCTGCCTTGGGGCTCACGGATGTTTCCAGGGGGAGGAGTCCCACAATGTAGGTTGTATGATGGATGCTGATGGGAAACACATGTAAGGGGGCTGAGGAGGGGGCCCACAGGACCCCAGCCCACAAAGGGCACTCACCTGATGGGCATCAAGATCAACAATGGTGGCCCTGGAGATGCCCTCCACTCGCTCAAACAGAAACTGCCCAGGGGAGGAGAGGGGAGAGGTGAGAACCCACACAGGCAGAAGACACAGCCCCTCAGGGACTCATAGCTAGTGAGGTGCCAGGGCAGGAGGACTAGGCAAAGACATCACATGCCCATGAGAGCTAGGCAGCTCCAGAGAAGCATGTGTGCAGGGTCAGGAAAGTCCTCCTGCAGGAAGGGGCCTGTGCTGGGCCCTGAAGGGCAGGAAGTCAGGAGGTGAGCAGGTGAGTGAAGCTGGCCCTCCGTGACACTCCATGAATCCTGGGGAAATGTGGGGGTTGGGGGAGGAGAAGCCTCCCTTCAAAACCGGGCTGGGAACTTTATTCAACAATCTTTGTCTTCTTACAAGGTCAGGTCCAAATTCCTCCTTCTCTGGAAAGCCTTCCTCCCCTCTGTCCGCCCTTCAAGCTCTCCTGCCTGTCTGCTTCCTGAATGCCCAGGGTCTGCTGACCTGTCGCACCCCTACCATTAGTCTGTGAGTTCTGTGAGAACAGGAACCACAATGACCTGTTCCGGAAGCCCAGCCTGAGACAGGGTGCTGGGTGGTCAGGGGAAGCTCCATGTTCCACAAACATGGAGACCAATGCCAGCTCTGCCCCTCTGGCTGTGTGACCTCAGCTCTGGGCCTCAGTTTCCTCATCTGTAACATGAGGATTCACTTAGGTGAGCTACTGAGAACAAAGGTTGGCATAGGCTTGAGCCTGTAGTAAATGTCATCAGTATTATTGTGATCATTATTATTATTTCTACCTCCCCTCACTCTTCTGTAGGAGGCCCTTCTTATTGTTGATATACATGCTTCTCCCCAGCTCCTGCCATTGCCGGAGGCTGTACTACCTCCCTTTTGGCACAGGCAACACAGAGGAGAGTCCAATCTAGGTTTGAGCCTGAGACTGGCTGAGTAATGCAGGGACCTTCCTCCCCCCTGAGCTTTACTTCCTTCCTCTCTAATGTGGGGTGAGAACACAAACTTGGGAGTGGCAAGGGACCCCTGGAGTTGATCTCTTGGAGGTGATTTCCACATGCTCTCCTGCACACCTTGATGGCAAGTGTGATGTCTGCGTAGGCACAGAAGCCCCCGCCCCGGTCGCTGGAGCAGTGATGGAAGCCACCACCTATAAAAGGCAGATATGATATGGTCAGGGCCAGGCTTAAGAGCTAGACCCAGGCACCCTCCCCTGCCCTCCCATGTGCCCTCCCTGCTCAGCTCTCAGGAAGGCTCCTAGGACTCCAGGTTAACAAAGTGAATTGCGTGCCTAGATGTCTCCATCCCCAGATCAGGAGGCAGCCTTGCCATTACAGCCACCCCTGTCAGAGATAGAAACCTCTTAGGGTATCCCAACAAGTCAGACTCCAGTGCCCACTCACATCCGTTAGGGGACAGAGCTCATCCTTCCCAAGACAGTAAGTCTCCATGGAGCTGGGCCTGCCCACATGTGAGTCTTCCTGCCAGAAAAGGGTGGCAGAGCTATGGGGCAGGTTTACCTTGGGAACCCCCAGATTCTGCCGGGTGATAGAAGGGGGTGACCTCTGCTGGTCAAGGCTACCCATGGCAACGGTGAGGATCCTAGAGACCAGGGCCCAGCCTCCTCTACCCCTCAACACTGTAGCCTCAGAGCCTCAGTGGCCAGAGCCCACCCCTCTGCGACCCCTACAAGAACTGAGCTGCAGGGTTTCTGAAGTTGAGCTCAGTAACTGCCTCACCTGGCAGTGTGAGGCTAGGGCCCAGATACAGGGAATGCCTTTGCACCACCCAAGAGGCTGTCATTGGATCCTATTAATGAGATAACAGCCAACAGTGAACTCCTCACTGGCACTGAGCTCAATGAAGCCCCCCCTCAGGCCCAGCAGGCACCGTTATCATTATCATCTCCAATTTACAGATTAAGACCCTGAAGCACAGAGAGTGATGTGATGTTAGCAACTTGCCCTAGGTCACACAGCTAGTTAATGGCAGAACTAAAATTCAAACCAAGGGCCCCAGAATCCTGTTGGGACCTCTATAGAAACACATGGCATATATCACTCACTTTTTTATTCAGCAGAGTATCATAATTTAATGGTTAAACCAGACCTAATGATGGGTATCTGGCCATACCAAGAAGGCCTTGCAGTGTTCACAATCCAAGGTGGGAGCAGGGGAAGGCAGCTATTGGGCTCTGAGCAAACCATTAGGCTTCTCTCGACATCCATGTTCTCATCAATGTAATCAGAATGAACAATAACACCCAGCTCAGACGAGAGGCCGGACAGACAGGGCTTCACAAACGAAGTGCTGGGCCTCCATGAGGAGCACAGCGGGGGCGAGGAAGGCCACGGGTGTGACCTCTCATGAGCCAATTCTGTGAGAGAGTCCAAGGGACTGGGGAAATACTGGACCTCAAGGCCCCTGAGAATAAAGTGATATTGATCCTGGGCAGCCCACCCACCATGACATGATCAAGCTCCTGAAGGCTGTCCTGGGCCCCAAGAAGTTGATAGAGTCTTTTGGGGGAGCCTCTGAAACTCTGCAGGTTTCAGCCTCATGCAGAGCTGTCCATGGGAGAGGGTGAGCTCCCCACCACTGGAAGTATGCAAAGACAGGACTGGGGAGCAATCTGGACAACTCTTTCAGACAAGGATTCCATGCCAGCTGGAGGCACTGGTTGGTCCCTCCTAGGCACCAGCATCTCCAAACTCACAGACACTTCCAGGATCCTTCGGCCCTCCCTGCCCCCAGGCCCTGGACAGGCCAGCTTCCCCAGGCATGGCACTCACCCACATTGATGGCCCAGCCTCGCTCCACTGCCAGCTTGCCCGCCTGGAGATAAGCACAGGGTGAAGGGCATGGGCAGCCCTCTTCTTCACTCACTCATTCACTGATTCACTCATTCATCCCATAAACACTATTTCCAGCCAGCTCTGAAGACAGGCTTTCTGGAGGTGGTGACCTGAAAGCAGAGCTCTGAGGTGGGGCTAAGGAAGCATCCACCCCCAGTAAATTCAGTCCCAGAAGCAAGTACCAGATTGGCTGGTATATGGGATGTGCAGTGCAATTTTGTGAGGAAACTGGAATAAATAAAAGTACTTATGATCACACATACGCTGACAATGATTTTAATGTGGCCTTCAAAGGGAAAAAGACAAGTTTTTGCTCATAGAAATATAGTACACTGAATACTGAAATCCAGAGGAAATCCAAGTTTTGAGCAGTAATACTCTAATAAACAAACAAACAAAAAACAAACAAAAAAAGATACAAATTTGCAGGTTGAAAAGAAAACTATAGTGGTCAACAGGCATTTACCAGGTCTGAATTAGATATCGCAGACGGGAGTCTGAAATGATTCTCTACCTTCAATGAACTTGGCAACCTGGGGCTCATTTTAAAGAGAACTACACACAGGACATGAAACCTGTTTTGCTGGGAGTTTTCTTCATCGCCACACCTGCGATGGGGAAAGAGGGGAGCACCATCCATCACTGACATCATTTCCATCTTAAATTGGAGTACATTGGAGTGATCACTTTAGGATCTATCTCTGGGGGGTGAGGATGTCTTACACACCAATAAATATGATAACTCAATTGGACGTCCCTGAAAAAGGAACAGTGAACTCTGATACCCGGGGGTGGGAGAGGCTTTGAGAGGCGCTGCTGGGCCTCGAGGAGTACTTAGGTCTCATTCCATTACTAAGTGGGAGGAAGGCATCCATATGGAGAGCCCAGGGTAGGCAACAGCCCAGGGTGGGCAATGGCCCAGAGGTGGGAAGGAACCAGGTGTGGGGATCCCCAGCCCAGCCCTGCGTCTCACCTGCCTCTTCACTTACCATTATGGTTCCTCCTGTCTGGATCCGAAGGGGCTTCAGCACCTTCCTCTGCACAAGGAAGTTGGGGAGAAAGATGACAGGGGGGATTTCTGTGATGGTAGCGACAGCAAAGGACCACTGTGGAAAGAGACGTAGGCCATTGGCCTCCCACTGCCATGCCCAGAGCTCAGAAGCAGCAGCTGGGAAATCAGATTTCCTGTAATGCCAGTTTCCAGGTGCTCTGGGTGAACTCTGGGCCAGGTGCAGTTACTGTGATAAGAAACAAGAACCCCCTCCAGTCTGGCCTCACCAAGTTTGGGGTGCAGTAATGATCAGTTTACCCAGTACAGTTTTTTCAAGCCTATTTGGCCCACATTCCTCAGTGCTCCAAAGCGCTTGGCTGCCCTCTTGTGCCCAAAACAAGAGCTGAGGAGAAATCCAAACTATAGAGGTGCAGACCCAGAAATGGTGACAGAGGCCTCAGTCAGGGAGGATCTTTCTTGCCAAGGTCACACAATGAGTCATAGAGCCAAGTCTGAAAACCCAGATGTCCTGCTTCCCCAGCACAGTACATATGACTTCTTCGTCTATTGAGAAGTGGACCTCTTTTCAAAAGAGGCATCCTGCCTCCTCTCCAGCTACTGAGGCAGGAGGATGGGGCCACCTAAAAGTCATTTGCACCAAGATCAGGACACAGCTTTTCCTGTGACCTCCCAGGCCCTCGGGCAAATGCCCATGCTCCATATCCTGAACTACCTCCTACCAGGCTGAGAATGCACTAGGCCCATGCTCGCTGTGCCCACTGACCTCACACAGAGAGGGGCCCAGTAACTCTGTAAATGTTCATTAAGTGGGGGCTGGTGCAGTCCTCATGTCAGCATGCTTGCAGCCTAGATGGGAAGTAGTCATATGTGACAAGCCTTGCGAAGAAGAACATGGTTTGGGTGGGGTAGGGGCAGACAGGCTTTCTGGAGGTTGTGACATGAAAGCAGAGACTGAAGGTGAACAAGAGTTGTCCAGCTGTAGGGGTCAAGGTAGAAAAAATTACTAGAGAAAAGTAAGTCCATGTTCAACAGAAGTTAGGTACAACTGGGATACAGAGGGCTGGTCTGCCAGCAAAGGCTCTCAGGCATGTCAGAGCAGTGGGAGCCTCAGACAGTGCTTCCCATACTGCTGTAGTTGTAACAGGAGAACCAGTTAGGGGAATGAGAATAATGGCAGCCCCAGGGAGGAAGTGAGAGATATGAGGGTCTGGGGAAGGTGAGATGGGGATAGTTAATAGAAGGCATGTGGGGAACAGATGGACAGAGGTCCAGGACACAAGGTCAGAACTCTTGGACTCCAACACTGAAGGCAAAGCCCAGGTTGGAGTCCACTGGGACAAAAAGAGACTGTCCTGGGACCAGAGGGATGATGGAAGAGGGAGAGAGGGAGAGAAGAAGAGAGGGAGGGAGGGACAGAGGGAGGGAAGCAGGGGGTGGGAGGGTAGGAACCAGAGGTGCTCAGGAGGCCAGATACAGAGAAGGTTTCAGAAAGGAGTGAGTAAAGTGAGGTGGTGAGGCTGCCAAGGCATCCAGTGAGAGAGAATTGAGAAGTGCAGCCATTATGATCACCAATCAGGAGAGATTTAGATTTGGGTCTGGAGAGGCCTGCAGAAAAAGCATGTGCCTTTAAAGAGCCAGGAGGGGATGGTGGTAGTGCAGGGACACCCGGGAGAAACTGGGTCAGAAGGGCAGGACAGGACCAGTCAGCCCCCAAAGGGGTCCTGGTGGCTGAGGCCACTGGCCAAGGGGAGACATTTTATCAGGTTGCCTGCACTACGATGAACACCTGTGTTGTCAGACCTCACAGGCTGGCAGGGCTGAGGACAGCTGAGGGGGAGGCTTGCTCTGCTCCCTCACTCCAGGAAAGGAACCTGAGAGCGGGATCTGTGGGGCATAGATTACTGAACTGAAAGTAGAGATGATCATGCTTCCTTCTTCAGCTTTTTCTAAACAGCAGCCTCTCATGCAAACCACATGGCCTGCACTGTGTTTCGGCCACTTGAGCCAGCCTATATGAAGGAGTTTCTGGAACCCTATGTCAACAAGTAGGACTGAGGTTTCTCCTGTCCAATTGGATCTGCACATCTATATCACCCATCAGCATTTTCTCCAAGCAATCAGATCAGCTCCATTTTCACCAATGACAGTGCCTTTTGGACCAATCAAACTGAGGATATGGAGTCCTCACATGCTGAGAATGGACTGATCAGAGGCAGGGATTTATCTGCATTAGGACCAGCTTCCCCCTGGCTCCCACAGGCACTTTCCCTTTCCACCAGAGACTGGAGATTGGTTTCTGGGCTGGGCTGGAGTCGACTAAACCAGAGCAGAGCAGAGTTCTAGCCTGAGAGGCATCATCTTCCCGCCAGGGCCACTTCACGGCCTTGCTATATCGCAAGTGGGCTGTTTGCACAGAATTAAGTTTCCTTCTTCACTGCACCCCAAATTTGGATTCCTGTTGGCAGTTAAATCAGTAGCAATGACCACTGGCTGACAGTATGTGAATATGCATATATTGGTGGGGGACAGACCCAGAGAGGATAGAGTGGCCAGCTCCCCTGTTCATCATGCCATCTCACTGCCCACCACAAGCCTGGCAGATGGAAGGCCTAGAGCCACTGTTTTCTTGAAAACAAATGAGTAAATACCCAAAAGAGCCTCTGAAGAAACACATTAAGTGACTAACTGCCATCATAACCAGCAGAGGAAGGGTCTGAATACAAATGAAGCCACATAACCTCCTAGAGTTTGCAATGGACACTCAGAGAGCCTCAAATAGTTTCCCATGATGAACTGAATTAGATTATCGCACACAGGAGTCTGAAATGATTCTCCTCCTTCAATGAACTTGGCAACCTGGGGATCATTTTAAAGAAAACTACAGAGCTTGAAGATGGCGACCGAACAGTCGGACCTATTCTGACTCTGGTTCCAGAACGGATAAAGGGGGCTTCTGAGTCGCTCAGGGAGAGTTGATTGGCAGCTAAGGGACAGCGGAGCTCTCAAGGAGGGTAAGGGAGAGTCCGCTGGACAGGATTTCCTGACCAAGTGGCCAGGACGGCCGCGGCAGCAGCAGCAGCGGCGGGGGCAGCGGAGGCAGCGTGCGGTGGGCTGCGGGCGTGGAGGAAGGGCTGCATCGTCTTGCCAGGAAGGAAGGAGCTTCTCTGAGGCGTGGAAAACGCACAGCCCGGAGGTCCATCGAGCAGCTGAGACTCCCAGAGCTGCGCAGACACGTGGATTCCGGGGAGATCTTCAGTCACCCACGGAAAGGTCAGAGTTTGCGGGGATAGCCTAAGGGATCTGGGTTCCGCGGCGGCGAGCTCCGGCCCCGCCTCCACTACGGCAGCCGGGGAGCTCCGGCCCCGCCTCTGCTACGGTAGCCGGGGAGCTCCAGCCCTGCCTCCACTGTAGACGGGTGCGCGAACTACAGCCCGCGGAGGCGGAGCGGAGCCCAGAGAAGGCTACAGCGACACCTAGTGCTGGGTTTGAAGTAATCCCCCCCAGAAGAGGGGCTTTTTTAAAACGCCAGGGGACAAGGGACAGTGTGTTAAGAATAGCGGCTGTCCCGCCAAGGGCGGAACATCTGGACACCTTGGCACCGGTTCCCATTCATCCCCTTGCTTCTGAATACTAGAGAAGAACTGCCCAGTTGAGCATAGCCGGGGAAATTGTAGGGGGAATTTGCCTTCTGGAAACAAGGGATTGGAGCCAGAAGACATAGTCCTGGAGCCAGCTAGAGCCATAGAGAAAGAAGGCCAGAGCAACCAAAAAGACTGGGAGGTCAAACCGGAAACACTGACACCTAAGAGCCGAATTACAAACTGCCTTTTTTTTTTTTTTTTTTTTTTTTTTTTTTCTCTTTTTTTTTTTCTTTTTTTTTTTCTCTTTTTTCTTTTTATTAATCAAAAATAAACGGACACAAATAACTAAGATATAACCTGCTTAAAATTAAGGTTTACCTTACAAAACTCAGGTGCAGTGGAATGCTGGGGACTGCAAGACTGTCTGGTCTGAGAATCAGGAGTGCCAAATACATTAACAGAGGAAGTGAATGACCACTACTGGACATTTTTATGCTAATTTTACTATTCTTTATTTTATTTTCATTTTTTACATCTTTTATTTAATTTTCACTTTTTATAGCATTTACTTAAGAAAATTTTTTTCTATTTTTTTCCTTACTTCATTTTACCTTTTCAATTATTACATTTTTCAATCTTTACCATCACTATTACTACTGCTATTTTGCAATTTTTGTTTCTTTCCTTTTTTTTTTTTTTTTTTTTTTTTTTTTTTTTTTTTTGTTCTTTGTTTTTTCTTGTTTGTTTGTTTGTTTGTTTGTCTGTTTGTTTCCTCTCCAGTACCATTTTATTTTATTTTTTTTCTGTATTTTACATTGGGAATAACCTCCATTCTATTTTAATCACTACTTTAGCATCATTCAACCCTATCTCAACTTGACCTTTACACCATCACTCTCTTACTAAACTTTACCCTTTTAGTCAACGGTTTATCCTATCCCTTTCCGGCTCTAGATTTTCCTCTATTCTTTCTGTATACCCCTTGCTAAAGCTCTCACTATACGTATAGACCTAAGTTCCAACCCCTGATCCAAGTGTATAAATACCAATTTCTGTACTATATTAACTAGTTAAAAAAAAACAAAAACTGTTCTCCCCTCTATCCTTTGCGCATTGTTTGTGTGAGGGTTGATTATTGTGAATTTTTATGCTTTTTAGTGAAATGGTTATGCTTATTCCTGTGTTGTTATTGTTGCATTGTATTTTTTTTTAAAATCCTCTGTTTTTGTTTGTTTCTATTACTTCTGTATATCATAGACTTACTTAATAATAGTGGATATTGTAGTTTGTATTAATCTCCAAGTATTGTTACTGGCATTGGCTGGGTTCAGTAGTTGTTCTATGGCAATTTTCTCCACATATATATAGTTTGTTTCCCATTTCTCTTTTAGTTTGCTTCTTCTCTCCCTTTCTTTCTCTCTCTCTCTCTCTCTCTCTCTCTCTCCTTTCTTTTTTTCCCTGTTTTCCAACTTTATTTTGTCATTACTTTTTTTCTTCTCTTTATATCTCTTTA